TCAAACCTTGTATATACGTTGGACATTATAGGACCTTGATGAACATCATTTTGTTTTACGATCTGATTCAAGATGGCCGAATGGCGGCCATATTTGTGCTAAAAAATCATAAAAATCAAGCATTTCTCGGCTGTTTACAGATGGATTTTGTTCAAACTTGATATATACATTAGACATTATAGGACCTTGATGCAAATAATTTTGTTTTTCAGATAACATTCAATATGGTCGACTGGTGGCCATTTTGTTTTAATGAATGGGCTTCTAGACCCATATTTCCAACTTGTATGCATGGCTTGTTTATATCTTTTTTCATTACCTAGAAACCTAGGATCACCAACCAGCCTACAGTCTTGTTACTTTTATGTCTACTTCATTGATGACAGAATAGTTTTACCACTTCTGAGTCTGGGTGTTATTTGTACTAATTAGAATTGATTCACATTATATTATTTGTGCATTGGCTTGTGGCCTGATTCATTTTACAGGTCTGTATGTCTCACTATGCACATGTACATGTTTTCATTTGTGGATTGTATGCATAGACTGGAACCCAAGATTTCATACAACAAACATGTGTTTTATCTAATATATATTTGCTGACTTAATCTCAGAAATGTTTTCTATGGCTCACACTTTGAAGCCAGTATGTACATTAGTAACACAATTTTCAATAATTCTCCTTTCATTACTCTCACTTTTATAGCTACTGAGGACCTGTTCAGAACCAGATCTTTGTAAATTATTCCGTACCAACATCGCTCTAAATCCATTCTTTGAAGCTGAAAAACAAAAAAATGACTTGGATTTGGAAGATATTGAAGATGAAGATGATGAGGATGAGGATGATGCGGTTGAAGAGTCTGAAAATGATATGAAGGAAGGAAAAAGCGCTGACGTTGATGAAGACAAAGAAGATGGGTAAGACTGCATATTTGTCACCTTCCAAGTTCATGTTTTGACCAGTCACTAAGTTCTTCATTAAGTCTAAACTTCTTGTTTCCAGTGGCGAGGATGAAGATGACATGGAAAGTATCAGAAAGTCATATCAGCATCTATTGGAAGAAGGAGATGACGGTGAGTAAGATCTAAGTGTCTCACACAATCCACTCCGGTATCTATTTCATATATGCATTCATATATTGCACAATATTCTTCTCACTGCAGGCTAGCGTGCTTGCCTCCCACCCCAAGCAGAATTGCTTAAATCATTGATGTAAATATAATAAATGTCTACTGCGTGTGTGACTCTAAAATGTTGCACACATACAACACCAAACATCCATCAAAAGGATGCCTAATAATGTGTATGTGATTCTATTTTGCTTATAACAGATGATGAAGATGGTGTTGTCACTGATAATGGTACAGAGGAATTAGATTCTACAGAAGAGCTACAAACATTTATTAGGAAATCTACAAATAAATCTATGGAAGGTAGTGATACACTGACTGCCAATGGTAAAGACAATGAGGCTCGAAAAGACAATGAAGATAGAAAAACTAGTGGTATTGGGGATAGCATAGAAGATGATGATGATGTTGATGATGATGATGATTTGGAAGGTGCTATTGGTGGAGATCCAGAAGTTGTGGCTAACTGGGATTCAGGATCAGGTGAGCTGCTGTAAACAGTAACTAGTAACTGTTTTCTGTATAAAACACGTCTACATGCAGTTTACCTCCTACTAAGTTATTGTACCCAGAATCAGTTAAATGTACATGTTACAGGAAGTAAATAATGTTACATTATAAATTATTATAAGACAGTGCACTGCCCATTATTCTCATTGGTGATCTGTACCACATGCAGTCCTGTTATCAGCCGAAAATTGTATAGTGTTTGAGGTCAAAATGGTGTTTTCAATAGTCGAAATAGTCAAAAGGACACAATAGTGAAATTGGCCATCAGTTAATCCCTCAAACAAACATCGGTACAGCATATGCACTGCTGTATTTTCCTATACCTAAGTCTTCAGATGATGTATTGGTTGTATAGTCATTTTTAGAGAATGTCTGAATCACAGAACAATTCTTAACACATTTTACCTCTGTAATATTTTATCAGGTTACGTATTCCTGGTCATTTTCATCTGCACCATTCATTATTCTCTCAACCTTGATATAAATTTATCAACTCTAGTCAAGTATTATTTGCTGAACAGTTGATATAGAGTTGTGATATCATTTTCAGCTGTATAATCTTGCAAGTTTTGTATTTGTATAGTTGTATTTTAAATCTAGTAGACTGTATTTGTACTTCATAAGTAAATCCAAAATTTTTACTGACAATAACAATGTCTTTTATTTGTTGTAATAATATTCCTATCATTGTACCATTCAGGTGAAAGCGATGATGAAGAAATGCATTCAGATGATGATAATGAGAGTGTATTCAGCATGTTAGAAGAATCTAGAGCTAGGTTGGAAACCGAATTAGGGTGTGATCAGTTCATGAAGGCATATAAATCAATAGCGGTAAGTCAGCTACATTGAAAATAAATTTTGATACTACCATAATATTAGCAACAAGAAATCCTAATTCCCTCAAAAAATAATCAAAGTGCCAAGTTACAAGGCATATTAACCCGGTCATTTGTCATTTTTTGAAACGAGTTACATCGTGACTGATTTCAACTATACACTACTACTTTTTACAATCAACAGCAAACACAAATTTGATAATAATATTATTCATATACCATCAGAATAATTGATAGGTCAAGTCTATTATTACCCAATCAGAATATTGTGTGATAGTAACATACCGGTAATTCAAATTCTATCTATGCATATTACTGACAATAAAATCACAGTCAGCTGGTGCACACGTGATAATAAAATAAATACGATTTTGGCATTCCAGCTCAGCAGCCAATCAGCAACGGCCTATCGCTTAGATGACAATTTCGGTTTCAAATACCCCGGCTTAGTGTTCTAGGTTCTTCGCGTAATTAGGTATGCAAGGGATTTTCCCACACAAAAACGACGAATTCGGCCGAATTTTGTTATCAGTTGGCTTAATATAACTCAACTCTTGATTTGTAGGAATCTGAAAAAACGCGTTTCACAACTTGTCTCTTATTTAGTTTTATGCGTCATTCAAGATGGCAACCCATATAGTAAATATCATATTTATTTTATTATCACGTGTGCGCCAGCTGACTGTGAATAATATGGTTTGTTGTCTAGGCAATACATGAAGATGAAGATGAGAATATAGAGGATGGATTCAAAATAGTTAGTGGTATACTAGGAAGAGAAAAAGAATATTTATATCCTAAAATATTACAGTTGGTCATGGCAGATGGAGCTTTTATTGAAGGTAACGAGTTAGTATGCTATGTTGATGTTTATAAGTAAATATGTTTATTCTCTGAATGTATTTTAATATATATATTATGTGGTTATTACGAAGATACCTCAAATTATGCACGAAGACAGTACAGCGGGAGTATTGACTGACGTGCAGCTGAGGTCGATGTGCAGCGTACTGTCTGAGTGCATACCCTGAGGTATTCTCGTAATATATACATCTATTATTTCCAAGCATACATCATGGGAATGCATACATCATGGAAATCCAAAAAGTTTAGAACAGAATCAGCGAACTTATTTGTGTGGAGTGCGGTCAAACCCTGATGGCAGTCATGTTTGTTTCTTATTATTAGAGGACACTTAGGCGTGTAATCTTCCCATATTTAGAATTTGCATTTCTTTATATAGTAGGATGAAAATACCCCGTAAAATACCGCGAAATTCTGGCACGCTGTAACTTACGTGGTTACGGTGACAGATGTATAATGATATGTATTATATATTATAAAATATAATGCTTCACTCCCATGTGCAAAGCCTACAGTACCCCCGGTAGTGATCATTCATATCAAGTGTTATCCCCAAAAGTGTTAATGGGTAGCAGTGTTATTCTGTGATTTACTCAGCGACTCTGTCAGCTTATTTGCAAGAATGACAAGTGGAAAACAACTCAGAGACAAAACCTTGACTGATTTTTGGCTCAACGGACAGGGGGTAAAAAACAGCTGTTACGACCCTACCTGATTTCAGTTCGGTAAAATAGGGTAACTCACAAAAGATGGAACTGTAGCTCCATGGTTTCGCGTTAACACCACAACGAACGAAATAATTTTGGTTGTGTCTGTGCATCCGTGTGTACACATTTTCACGTTACCAGCTTTTTCTCACACATGTGTGATTCAATTCAGTTCAGAGTTGGTACAGAGACAGGAATTGATGGTGCTATGATGCACATCAAGTTATTTTTTTGATTCTTCAAAGTTTCACTGTGTTTTTCTTTGATTTTTAACATTTTTCCTTCAAAACTGTTGGGAAATCCGACTTTTCCCAAAATTACCCGAGTTTAATCCGAGTTTTGATGACGCATACGCAGTTCTCGTCTCGGTGGAAATCACAGTCATTTTTGTGTGAGGATATTGTATTTTTATTTGCGCAACGTTTATATGGACAAAATTGTGTCTCATCAATTTCAAGGTAAGGAACTGTGCTGGTTATGGTATTTATAAACTTTGTATTATCGTTTGTGTTTCGGGTTTGGTGATTGTGAAAAACTCTTGCTAACCTGGCGAGAGCTTCGCCAGAAAAACTGCCTTTCTATTATTGTTGTAGGAACTGATTATGTATTGTGTAAATTGAAAGTTTACCTCGTGATTTAAG